CACGAGATGGTTGGGGTGAACCCCCTTATGCCGGGCGTAGCTGATAGTTGGGCTGTACTAGATGGTGCTGTTACCGCCCTATTGCCCTTGGTGTTGGCCTTATCTATGTGGAGTATGGCCAGTAGTGATGGCGCGGTGCTTTTGTGTATGTCGACAAGAGTGAACCGACAGGTAGTACGGCAGGCTGGTGGTGCCCTCATGGTCGTTTCTATGGTGCTTTCACTCACAGTGGGGGCCGGCAGCTGGGGTCTGCCACTGTATTATTTGACAGTGGCATCGCAATGGTAGGAAATACCAGAGGAGTGGTATGGAATTAACTGTTTTTTTCCTGTTCAGCCTGTTACTGGCCTATGTGCTGATGATGGTGCTGTATTCTTCTAAGCCGCCATCGCCCTTGGACGTGTATGAAGGCACGAGGGAAATCCCGATGGAGATCAGCATGGGAGGAGAGGAGCAGCAGTCTCGACGACGAGTACCAGTCGGTAACGATGATAACAGCAGCAGTGGTGAATACAATAAGGCGCGTTGGGGAGGCCAGAGGGAAGGCAGAAGAGCGAAGTGGCCGTATATAGAGTATTAGGGCGCTGTTGAGTAGACCTGTAGTATTGATGATATGCTTTCTTGTCAGAGTTAGCCTGAGCCCAAGATCCTCAGCATCAACGGTCAGTTCAACGACGGGGTCAGATGTGAGTGCCGCTGGCAGTAGTGGTAGTGGTGAAGAGGAAGAAGAGGAGGAGAGGTGTAGTGTGTCCCCACTGGTGAAGACGCGTCGACGAAGACTACAGGGACGAGCGCCGCAGGCGGTGGTGGCGGGGCCTAGGAAGGATGGCTCCTCGCCTCTGGGAAGGGTTAGGTGGTCGAGGCATATGTCTCTATCGCCTGTTGTTCACAGACGAAGATAGGCTCGCTGCTGTTGAAGTTGTTGTCACATCAAAACGATACGTGTACGTTGCTGCTACTGCTGCTACTGTTGCATTTTTACTTTTTCTCTCCTGTAAATTATCACTACTACTATGACTACGCTCTCTTGCTTGCATAGGAGGAGTCCAAGTAACCATTTATTGGGTAATACTATTACTAATAAAAAACAATATCTGCCTATGCACCTCGTCTTGTTGTTATTGGGATGGAAAGTCTTCATAGGAATGAGTTAATGAACGCCATGCTTGTGACTCACGTTAGGCGTTGCTAAGTGACTGCTATGATATAACTCTGGCTTTCCTTCTAGGCCAGGGTATCATAGTCGTATCTGTTCCGTTGGGTATCCTTATGAGGTATCCTTCTTAGTAGATTATAGTGTATATATTCTGTTCTTATCTACAATGACTAAGGCAGAGTCAGATCCTCATGTTTCTTCGAGTAAGAGGTCTGTGAGTAGTACGGCGACTGCTGCGGATGTGGCGCCCCTGACTAAACTCTATGACCTGCAAAAAAAGAGGCAGCTAGTTAGGTGAGGCTTGGCTTGGCATTCCACTAGTGAGGAAATATAGTAGGTTAATAAAAGTGAATTGTAGTTTATTATATTTAATGGAGTTTCACGACCCGTATTACGTGAAGTGTGAAAAAGGCGATATTCGCGGTGATATGCATTCATCGTGAAATATGTTTTCACTAGTGTTTTTCATATCACGGTCGTGAAACTCCAATATTATGTTACTTTGATGTCAGCCTTATTAAACGGTGATAGGAATATATATTAGTTATCTAGTTGGCGTATATCTGTTATCATTTTATAGGTTTATATTAGCACTTATATTATAAAAATAACAAAGCGTATTCGAGATGGAGGTAGTGTCTACAGTTGTAATAGGTATATACACTGGAGTTTCACCACCCTAGTGATATGAAAAACACTAGTAAAAATATGTTCCACGACTAGTGCATAGTTCGATCATCGCGTTATTCACAGAGTAATACTCCACTTCACATAAAACGGGTGAAACTCCACTGAACAGTTGTTATTGTCTGAAATGGTCGCGTTTATACGGGAGATCTCTTGGTGCCTCTCGAACGTGTTCAGTAGATAGGCATACCAAATGAGAATAGTGAGAAGTATGGTAAAGAATTCATGGCTCGGAGTTGGTGTGGTGTAATCGCTCGGAGACTCACGGGTTTTTTTACTCAGAGGTAATCGTCGTATGGCCCCCACTGCTTCGTACTACCCAGCTAGTGAGTATGGCCGGGGTAGCAGCTGCAGTGTTATGGGTTACCCTCAAAGCATGACCCCACAGGGCTCGGCTGTCACCTCTTCACGTTCCTCTTATGCTCCTGTAGTGCGCCTTCTCCCTCACACTCTTATCCTATGTGTGGTCGCAGGTTCTAACCCCGAGCCCGACATCTCGGTCCGAGCTGCCCAATATGTAGGGGGGGGGCAGTCCGTAGTGAGATTGTTGATTTAGGTACTCTCCTCCTGCATACCCTGGGCCAGTCGTGCTCCCCAGGGTTGGAGTTCCCTTGCCACCACCTGAGATCTCTGGGAGATATTATTATAGTCGTGGAGAGGTAGCAAAGATTCGCCTGTTTGCGCACAGCTTAGATTTTGCAGGAGTTCGTCGCTACCCCACCACCACTATGTGTGAAGTCCTCCTCCTCGTCCTCCTCCCCCTTCCTCAAGTCGGTATCAGTACCCTTACTGGACCTTGGCCCGGCTGGGGATGAAATCTTCGATGAGCCTACGCCGGCTCGAGTCCGGCAGAGCGTTGGGCATAAGTGTTTATCACGTCGTCGGGAGTGGTGAATACCACAGTTGATGGTGTTATTCTTTCTACCCGTATTCACGCTCATTATTGATCTCTCCTCAGCTGCTGCATGTACCGAATGGGTCATCAGCTTGCTGTAGTTGTCGTTGTTGTTCCTAATAGTGCAAGTGTATTATTGTGTTCGTGGTCAGTGCTAATATATTTTTCTGCTAAGTATAGACTATCTTCACCTGAAGTGCTATCTTTTTTTTCTCACCTCTGTACTCAGGCGTAGCTATTGCTGATAATAATAATAATACTAGTGTCTCCATCGTTGCCTCTTCGATTGTGTTATAAGTCGTTGGGAGGTGGGGCTCCTCGTAATAAGTAGTAATTGCCTTGCGGGGTAAAAAGGCTCTCATGTTGTGATTAGTAGTATGAGGCCATTATGAACAATTCAGGGAGAGTTGCGGATGGCGTGGTATGTGAATATCCTTTTTGCCCAGAGCAGTAGGTTGGGGTATGTTCGCTCATATTGGGTAGGAAACTACTGGGATGAAATTCGGAGGTTCTATTCTCACATTGTCGCTCTCCGACAGCTGTCGTATCAGCTCTCTCCGAATGTTGCCGACTCGTGGGCTCAGATTTAGTGTAGTCATAGTGGTCATGCTTAGTTCACTCACAGGGGAGAAGGAATACTTTTCAAAATATCGAGGACCTCATCCAGAGAGGTGAGATGTTTGTATTAATAACTGAGGAGAACGGTGCATTCGGTCAGGTTTGAAACGATGAACTACAGCGGCACGCTGTTGCCCCTCCGAGACTGGGCCAGGGGGAAGAAGGACCAGTTGCTGGAGACTCGTGGAGATGGTCGACTTCTTTATCACGATCAGTCACGGCAGGAGGTTGAGGGGACGGCCCCGGTGAGGTTGGGCGTGTATAGACTGAGCATTTCCCGGATTTCTCCCACCCCCCCCCCCCCCCCCAACAGTGTTGGAATTCATGTTCGCGTTCCTCAGCTGAGCTAAGCAGTTTTCTCACTTATCTCATGAGCTCACACACGAACCTGGCTTTATCGAAACCAACGAGAATTTCCCAAAATTTTTACTTTGTCACCAACACATGGAGTTGCCCATGTGCATATTTTCCCACACTGCCTTCCATCAATGAGTGCTTAATCTTGGGATGCCAATTCTAGGATCGTGCTACTTTCAAGCAGGTGCTCAGTACACAGACATCGTCGGGTCGAACTCGGCCGTCCTGTCCTCCCCTTGACGAGGCACTAGGGCGTAGTACTCCACTATCGGCAGACACGGTGAGACCTCATACATTCATATTCATAACTCGATTTTCGTATCATAAGTTTCTCAAAATGTTTTTGTGAATGAGGACGACAATCGAATTACCCATTTGAAGTCGCTTTCTAAACGGAGTTTCTTCCGTGGCTAAGAATTCACCATTTTTCAACTCGTGGAGCATCAAATTTCTGTCATTGTTGACATGCGTGAGAATTCGTTCCGCGAACAGTGTTAAAGTCACTTTCATAACACAAAACTCCATCAAGTGATTCTAACGGTTAAGGTATATACCAAGAAACCATTATACCTGCGGACACTATCACTGATGCATTTCCACTTCCTTCTTGACGAGCGATGCTCCTCATTGTTCTGGTGAGTTCAATACTTCACCAATGGGCGAAAATGACGGCCGTGAACCACCATCCTTCCCCAAGGCTTCCTCAAGCGTCACCACACGGGGTTCCTTCTCTGCTGTCGAGGACCGTTTGAGGGCTTTTTTACAACGCCCCTTATTATCCTCTGCCTCCCCACCAAGCGAAAGGGCATGGGAGAAGTACTCCCGGGGCCTTCCAGGCTTTGGGAGATTCAATTGCAATCGCTGAATAGCGTTAGGCACGAACTGACCGGCAATGCAGCACACTCTGCATCGCTTGATCGTAGAGCACATCACGGAAACTTGCACACTTACAGAATCGCGAGTCTTCGCGGAGCCATCATAATGATGTGACTTCGTCTTATACCATTTTCCATGATCAACCGTACCTCTCTCAAAGTCGCCCAACCGGGAAGCACACGTGCTGCAGAGGACTTTGGGGAGCTGGAGCTTACCGAGTTCTTGTTGGAAATCGATGCCGTAGAACCTCAAAGCTCGCTGACATTGCAGTTCACTGGGGGGAGGCCTCTTGGTCTGACGACGCCCAAGTTTGACTCTTGCGAAACACAAACGGCAGACACAGTACAGCTTAGTGAGATGGTAGTCGTCAACAGTCTCGGCCACCTTAGAGGGAATTGACAATGACGACATCATTGGAATGTGATATGATGTACGTCAGCTTGAACCAGTAGACCAAGCTTGCAACACCTACGTCAAGTCGCTAGGTTGTTCAATCCTTTCATGAAGTGCTGATAAATTTCATGCGTAATCGAGCACTCTTGCTGAGAGAAAAAGTAGAGGTTTCTGTCGGGGAATCAACCAGGAACCTGCAATGGAGTTTCACCCTAGTGATATGAAAAACACAGTGTTTTTCACCAGTGACTGGTGAAAAACATATTTAGCGACTATAGCATACCGCGAATATCGTGTTTTTTACCGAGTTTTACGCCACTTCGCGTAAAACGGGTGAAACTCCAATGTTCCCGGTGGAAACCCATTTTCAATTTTCCACCTATGGCTAGGAACACATTCTTCAAACAGTTTCCCATGTAAATGTCATCACATTAGGAACATTTCCCCCATTGTTGTGAAACTGGTACCAGTGCACCCAAAGGGCATTTGCAGTAACAGATTGCTGTTGTAAATGTTTTCCCAGAGATTCGCCTTATACACAACCGATTAACGAGAGAAACGAAGCAGAAAATACACTCTCCCTACTCCACCGAGTGATGTGTGACACTCAGACACATCTTCCCCAGTTGCTATCCACGGCCACATGGGATGGATCATTGCTAGGCACTGTTCTACTCAATCAACCAGCCCTTGGTCAAGCTCGATCTGAGTGGCTGTCATCGAGTTCTGTCGGCCGCGGTGTTCGACTCCCTCGCACGGGACTTACCATTAGCCTTGAGTGCATTACGAGACGTCAACCTCGCGTGAGCCACCTGTGAGGGTTGACTATTGTGCGCAGTGGAGTGCTCAGTTCAACCTATTTCACAGCCCCATTTCTAACGGCCCTTCTCATCTCTTGCCGATGCACTTTGGACCATCTCACCTTAGAGGCCGGTCGAGTCCCGAGGGCCGTCGATGACGCTGCCATGGCGTTGTCGTCCTTACAGAGCATAAAGTACCTAATCAACTCATCGTGGGATACCCTGTTGGCCCAGATATGTTAACCTTAGAAGTCTACCGGGGCTCTCCGCGGCGACCGTGTTGGTCTGCAGTAGCTTCGCTTCATTAGAATGCTTATATTTGGGTCATAATGACGATGCCATAACGGATGAATCTGTGCCCTCTCTCGCTTGCGAGGTCAGCAGACTTCGAGAAGTTGATCTCGCTGGGTGGGTATCCATGTCTGCTCGTCGCAGTCAATCTGATTCCTTCCTGTAGCGCCTCCGATCGTTTTACCACTACTGGCGTCTACACTTTATGTTCCAACCATCCACACCTCCGAAAACTGGACATCAGCCAAGCCGCCGGGTTGACTGACGGGGTGGTGATCACCACGACTCATACGTCACCGTTATGGCGCCCCTCAGGATCAGCTCTCGTCAGCACTTGCCCACTGTAAGGACCTAGCCGACCTCAACCTCAGCTCATGCCCAGCTCTCAATGATAGAGTATTGAAGTCAATACCTAAGTGAGCAGCACTTACCCTATCAACTAAAGAGCTATTCTCGTCCTACAGATCAGTCCTAGAAACTATAAGTCTCCGCTATGCTTCTTCGGGCGTTACTCTGAGAGGCCTCATCCGATTCGTTCGTAACTGTCCAGTATTGAAGCACTTCGATCTCGCTGGCTGTGAGTGCTTGCGACCAGCTGCTGCTATCTCGAGATTGCTGGTAGAACCCAACGTACAAAAGCTCCTCGAGTGAGTCCCTCATTCTACTGTGTTGGTCGCGCCTTGGGCTCAGGCTGATGCTGACTCTGGTTCCCGAACTGCCGGATATGAAGAGCATGGAAAAGCTTCTTCCCCTTGGTCGTATCGTATGGCTACCGATGACTCCTGAGAAGGAGGAGCCTTTCCAGCTGGTGATTGCTAGCCCCATTACGAGTGCCAGTATGAGCGTTGAGTAGATTTGCCCTTTGAGCCGAGATGTTAAGAGAAAGGGAAAGCCCAAAAGGGGCAAGGCGGCTGGGAAGAAGAAAGGAAAGAAGAGGAAGTGAATTTTGTGCTCAACATGATTCTCTTGTTATTGTTCGCCGAGTTTTGAGTTCTGCTATTCTGGCTATTTGAGGGACTGTACCTAATCCTAACCGCGGTGTTCCCCCATCATATTTGACCCTCTTGCATCAGTAGTTTCAATGACCCCCGTCCCACTACTCTATGCTCGGAGCATTCTCGAGCTCGAACCTTATCAGTTGGTCGGCCTCTGTAGAAGCGCTGCAGCTGCGCACATTCGGGACCCCAGGTTCTGGCAAATGGTCAGGCATCGACTGGCCGCCTGGAGTAAGCCCTCGACTGCGATCTGGCAGGACCTCCTCGTCAGGTCCGTATACTCTCACTCCGAATCAACTCGCCAGCCTGCTTTCGAGCATCATTCGAGTCGCCATCCCTCAGAATGCTGGACGACGTCCACCGACAGCCAAAACGGCCGCGGCTCACCTACAAGACCCTATGAGGCTGGAAAACATCGCGGCAGATTTTGGGGGAGTAGCCTGCCAGTTAGCCGAGACCACTGTGATCTCCACGTCACCACCTAAGCCTGTATTAGTTTCCCTCACAGAGTCCTTGGTTGCTCTTGGGGCTGATCCGAAAAGCTCAGGAGCGCGGCATCTTCTACTAAACATTCTTTCGGGTGCGCGGTCTTTGAGCCCTGGAGACTCCTGTCGTCTACTGTCGCTTCTCAATAAGGCCGGCCTACCTCTACCTGATGAAGTGGTTGAGCGCGTAGTGGTGACTGGAGGCGAGGGCTTGAGCATGGAAGAGATCTCTTCAGCCTACGAGGCCACAGCAGAGGAAGCGTTAGGGAAATGGCTAGAGGGCAAAGAAGTGCAAGAGTGGACCCCCTGTATTCTCCTCCGAGTGGCTCGCTGCTGCAGCAGTGCCTCTCTCGCCAATCGAGTCGCTAAGGCGGCATTACAGCATCGGAAAAGCATGTATTTTGATAAGGACGACGCCGACCTTGAGAGCTTCGTGATTGGCGTCATGCATGGCCATGCTTTGAAGCAGGATCTGCACATAGGTCAGGGCTCGTCGTTTTGGGTGGTTTGGATGCCCTGGTCTCCCTCAGAGCTCTGCTCCTGGTTGAGCCCTCTGGTAGTACGCCAACTGGACGCTTTCAAACAGCCTAGTCTCGTAATACGAGGAATGAGGCCCTCCAAATGCTCAAAATACGAAGGCAGATGGGCGGAGGAAATCAGCGGTGTGAGTCGTCGTTGCTCCGCCCTTCTGAGAATTCGCGCACCCTAGCCGTGGCTCAGAGTCTTCTTGGTAACATAGCTCGCCTCCTCGACCCAGAGCGAGAGGTCAAACCAGCATCGGCAGTAGTACTGGAGCTCTGCGTTGCAGCAGCTGAAGCTTTCGCTCTTGCGAGGAGCCACGAGGTCAGCCATAGGGATCCAACATCCGTCAGCATCCACCAAGTCAGGTTACCCTGAACTCGTCAGCGGCCGCTATACTGGACCCGGCTTCTGCAGCCGCTCGAGACAGCGTTTGGGAGATCCCGATCGATCGCATTCCGGAGCTGTTGCTGGCAGTGTTCTCCTTGGATCTGGAGGGAGGGGAGGGCCACAGCTTGTCTTATCAAGTAGCCAAAAGCTGCTGCGCTGATAGAGACTTCTGATTCGGTCCATACCGGTTCACTCGTAGGTCAGTTCAGTGTTCCTTCGAGCCTGTGAGAGATGGCTGATGATTCTCAAGAACAAGGCGAGTTTGGCCGTAGAAGAAGCAGAACTCCTTACTGAGTTCCTCGAGGTTGCAACTTGAATCCTTCCTGCGTTTAGAACTTCATCTCACAGGTGTTGGACGAGGTTGGCTATTCCTATGAGGAGCTCACCACAGCTGCAGCCTCGGTCATGGGGGAAGAGGAGGCGGAGGATACAGCGCATGCATGAACGTTTCCGTTATGACGTTTCGTTTCACCCACGATGCTCCGAGTTTCACAATGAGTTACTGTCAATGAGAGCGGCACTGCGGTAGAAAGCAAGAAATGTGAAAATAAAAAGAGTCCGGATCCTCTCTTTTCGCCCGAAGGGTCTCTGGAGAATTATCGAGATGTTGCACCATAGAGAGGTCTAGAAAGCCACCCAACCACTGCGCTATTTTCAATGTTGTGTCGGTTTGCCGAAACGCTTAACCGAAGGGTACAAAACCTGGTGGTCTCTTGCAGAACGGATATGACAGATGACATGATGTTCGAGCCGTGTTGACGGCGTTGGACTCTAAACTCAAGCTTGGTTGGCTCCAGGTAGGATTTACCCCTGTGACTGAGTTCTAGACGCAACAAGATAGGAATGATGACTCAATGTTGCAGCACCATCGGTACTTGACGACACATGACGTGGCGCATGGTTCCTCGATAGGCGAATAAGAGATGATGCCTTGTCCTGCACTAGGACAATGCTACGTGACAGTCTTGTCAGGATTGCGAAGCCTTTTCATCGTCAATAGGCTCGGGAGGCGGTTCCACCCAGCCAAGAACGAGCACTCGGCCTCCACAGAGACTGCACTGCCCGCCACCACTGGCAAGCGACTTCAATTGGTTCCAGCAGCCACACCGCCCACAGTAGATCTGAGGAGACCAACTTAGCAGATCATCGGAACATAGAAAGGCGCACTCTATGCTCCAGTGTTTGAGTCACAAGCCCCTCCTTCTCTTCGACCAATTGCTGCATTTGGCAGAGATGATCAGTCAGTGCTCCGAGCTGTTCGTCGTAACTGCTCAGAGGAATCCTCCCACACCATGGCAACGTCAAAACTACGTGTTCAAGACTAACATTGTACCATGCAAGAGATTATCAGGACTACTTGTGGAATAATTGTTTTGTGTTGAAAATTCATCACATAGAGACACTACTCCGGAGCACATACCCTGAGATGTTCGCGTGACCAGCCATCTGCCATTCACGCGGCTCGTTTTATTATTTGCCATTAAAAAGTGCAAAGATACGCTGCTATTTTGATACGGAGAGCCTTTTCACCGGTCGACTGTGAACCTCACCCCATCTTAGTCGTCGACAGCTCCAGCTCCACTTCCTCGAGCGCTGCACGAAGGGCTCTAACTTCGTTCACCTGATGATGGGATTATGATCAGTCCACGGTGATCAATGTGCAACGGCCTACCGCTACATCCCGGTCCTCCGAGACCGTCGAGAGATGCGAAGCGGACAGAGCTATCTCTGATACGAGTATCAAATGCCTACAGCCATGGAGAGGAAAAAGCAATCCGTCATCGTGTGGTCGCCTACTTAGCATTGGCCTGGTGTATTTCTTGCCGGAGCGCCTCGACCAGCATACAGAGAGTGGAGCTTCGTGGAGATATTGCCCTGATTGGAGAACGGTATCAGATGATGGGAAGACAGTGGTCTAGGTGTTGGATTGTCACGAAGCTCCAAGTCGCTATCGTCTAGCGGTTAGGACGTCACGTTGTGGCCGTGACAACCCCGGTTCAAATCCGGGTAGCGACTTCTTTTCTCCCAATATTATAAAAGTGATTTTTACTTACTCAGCGGATGACGAGGATGACAACTTGACTGTGACTGGTCCAAGGTTGTCAGGTGATGACACCAAATCCGCTCGTAGCTTCATCGCACCTCCATACGAAGGCGAGCTCATCAGCCCTTGGAACGAGTGCGGACTTCGAGGGGCAGATGCCTGACCAAATCCAATCTTGCTCAACTCGCTTCGCTCTGCATTCTCTCTATACCAAAAGCACACAGCGTTTAGTACGTTTATTCAGATATTCAAAGTCGATCCCAAAATCAAACTCGTGGAAACGGTTCCAGAAAAGTCCATTAAACAAGTCCACAAGATAACCTCCTCTTCCTCTGCATACAGTAGCACCCAAGCAATGCCGTACCGTCCACAGATCCCGATGGTCGCCAGGTTCCGTCGGTGCCCGAGACGTGGACTCATCCGTGAAGACTTGCGTATGACGCTGCTGTGAAACGAGCCCTGGCAGGTCGAGAGGATCCTTTATTGAGCTTATAGAAGAGGCATCCCGCGGAATGGTCTCGGTCGCCACATTACGCGTTGGACACCTATAAGAAATACTATGCAGGGCAGCGTGATCTGGCGTGGCCTCACCGGCTCGTCACAGAAGCGATAGAGGCTCCTGCGACTCCCTTACGACGCGTCTCCTCATCTCTATGACTACCACTCTAGAGAGAGCCGTATCGCGTAAGCTGATCGTGTACCTCCTCCCTACCACCTCCCGTTCAAGGTCTGCTATCCTTTGACCCAGCACTTCGTTCGCCTCCTTTAGCGCTCGCCGATCCTCCTCCAGTGTAGATACCGTACCTGCGAACCGATCCAATGATCCCAAGAAGCCGTCAATCTCCGTCGCTTCCACAGTGACATGAGACCTCCTACAGTCGATCAACCGCGGAGATTGATCCCTAGGAACAAGGTACGCCGAGTTCAAGTGGATCCACGACCACCCTTCTCACTATCTCCGGCAGAGACCTTCTTCTCGAGCCGCTCGTTTTCCTCTTCTAACGCGCATATTCTCCTACTCGCAGACTCCGACGACATCCGCAGACTAAAGACAATATGGCACACAGACGAGACGAACTCGGCTAGCTCACTCTCGCAGTAGTCCCGCTTGCTTCTCGCTCTCTCGCGTTAGCTCCTCATTTCTGGCTACCACTCCGTCCCGACTTCGCGTCACAGATGCAAGCTCATCCTGCAGCCTCTGGAGCAACAGCAACAATGACATTCGCATTCCCTCACCACGACAAGTACCCCACTGGAGTGGCCATATAACAGATCCCATAATTTTTCCCACCCATTCCGACCAAATCGCAACATTCTCGCCCAGCGAATTCAGATCTCCCCTTTCCTTCCCTAATACCACCTTGCAATCATCATCAACAACCTCAATCCTAGTCTGCAGCTCCTCAACCATCCCTTCCAACTCCTCAACCCTGCCTTGGTGCTCTCCCATTTTCAACGCGCTCGCGCTGGGGACCAACAGGCCCTGTACGGATCGTGCCCCACTCAATGAATTACCACAGCAGCTCTACCTTCATAGCGCCAAATGCCGAGACGGATATGGCAGGAGACGACTTCGGCTGGGCATTTTTCCCTTCAAGTTCCCGCAGCCTCCCTTCCATCTCTGCTATACGTTCCTTATAACGTGCAATGGTCTCTCCTGAGCGATACGAAAGTTCTTTGTTTCCCCGTGATGACGACTACTACCCTGTGCTGACTCCCCATTCACACCATCTGAAGGACTGCTCGAGCCACCGGCCGCCGGAGTCCCCTATAGAGGAGCCTCGTTGGTGGTAAAACACACCCAAGCACCTACTGAGGAATTCCATGCTGACGACATCTTCTCACGAAGTGCTCGTATTTCTCGCTGACTGTCACTGTAGCTCTTCTTCAGTGCATCTAGATTCAAAGCAGATCCACAAGAGACCTTGGGCAAACATACCGCCATACCGTATTGCCCTCTCAATTTGAGATACTTATTCGCCAGCCTCTCCATCTTCTCTTCAGTGCTCATCACAGAAATCCCTACTGAAAGCAGCCAATGTTACGACAGCCACATGAAGGCCTCCTACCAGGGCTGGTCATCAGCCCTTACCAACTGGACGGGACGGGAAGCCCCAAATATAAATGAACTGAGAACCATCCCAAGCACTGCCCCCCCCTTCCACCGCCCCCAACTTCATAACGACACAACAGCAGAGCGCCGAGGAGGAGTTTTCAAAGCACAGAGAAAGCTAACTGCATATACTCGCTGCCAATTTAGGTGCCGAATCGCTGACTCCTCATCCGCTTCTTCTCAGCCTCTGTGTCGGCGGTAACCAAGCCGAACCTGCACACTAAAGTCATTCTTCCCCACCCCTTCCATATCACCACCTCTGGGCTCTCTTTAGCCTTCTAACAGTCTCCTCATCAGGATTCTCACTCTCTTGAGTAGTGGTCGCAAACCTCTCAGAACTGAGGACACCAACATTATCGCCGACCAAAAGAGAGTCCCTCCTACCGAGCCTTCATCTTCGCCTGTTCAGTTTGCTTACTCACAATACCAAACCGCAAGGCTCTCTCCAGCTTCTTATCCTCGACAGTTTCCGTACCAAATCTACGACCAAATATCCCTAAGTCGTTAGCCTCCATCAGTACTACCTCTTGGCACGTTCTAACCTTCGTTGCTCCTCAGTCTTCTCTGCGGTGGAAGTGTTAGGGCTCTGCAACAGAAAACGAGTGTTCCTATTTCTTCCCGAACGTGACCCATCGTGAGGCGACGAAACCCCTAGAGTAGAGTGGATGTGCTAAGCGGCCTACCTGAGCGGCATCGGCATCAACACTAGTAGAAATGACTGTTTTGGATGCCTGCTGACCGGCGTTGCCAGCTGCTACTTCCGATTTCTTCACACCGGTAGAAATCTTCCTAGGCGAACCTTACAGATATCCAACCATGGATGACCTCAGATGAATCCTTGAGCTCACTCGAAGAGATCTCTTTGGACTCGTCCAGAGTGGGAGTATCTCCCTCCTCTGTGGCATGAGCAGCAGCATCGTACTCCATCAAACGAGATATGAGGACATCTTTCCGTCCGATGACCCTGAACAGGTACGGACGCTACTACCCGGGTGAGAAGCCTTATAGAGAATGCCTAGCAGCCTACCCCCTATACTACTACCAGCGGTAGTCTACCACCTCTGGAGCTGAGTCGTCTCACAGATACATCTCTACGAAGAGTTCCTCATACCCCACCCGCCTACTGTAAGCCTTTATCCTTGCATAGGTTCTGCAGCTCCTTTAGCTTCAAAGCGCTGTACTTATCCCGTCCGGAGTCGCTGTTCTCACTCATGTCAAAAAGGAGGCTGAGTGACGACTAAGTCGAAGTGAACAAGTCAACGCACACCTTAGCAATCTTGCACTTCCTCAATTGCTCACTTTCCTCGTCGGAGCAGCATCATTCACGATGACCGTGGCCCACGGTCAGTGGGCAGATTTCATACGGGTTCATAAGAAGCACGAATCGTAAGGCACTTGAAAATTCTCACGAAACGGTGGGAAAGGGTGTCATTAAGGTAGAGCTTTACCGTAAAAAGCTCTTCGCAATTTTTTTGCGGTCAAAAATGCTATTTTTCTGCATTATACTTCGAGGGGAGGGATATTTTATCGGGCAGAGACAACGGCATCTATGGAAGGGTAGGACAGTAGCTCAATGAACGCGTGGGGCTGCCCCACGCGTTCAGTCCACTAGACTACCCCACTGGGGCAGTCCGCGAATGGCATCGGTGGAGATGAATGGAGGCAAGGAGAGGTGAGCCGGACTGCTCCAAAATTGAGGCATATCTCGCCGTCTATTCCTAAAGGACCAACCTCAAGATGACAACTCTAGATGGAGCCATACAGTGCTACTCGAAGTCCAGCTGCGGCAGGTATAGTTGAAAAGCTCGAGGCCCATTGTATTTTCCACGGTCGTGGGTGTCAATATTAAATTCTACAGGAAGTACTCCCGACAGTGTCTTAGTTGCCTTGGCTCCTGTAATTGGCGGATGGGGCCGCTATGCCCGCTATGGACTATACCATTAAGAGATTCATTTGGCGGATGGGGCCGCTATGCCCGCTATGGACTATACCATTAAGAGATTCATTTGGCGGTTGGGGCCGCTATGCCCGCTATGGACTATACCATTCAGAGATTGATTTGGCGGGTGGGGCCGCTATGCCCGCTACGGACAATACCATTCAGATATTCATTTGGCGGGTGGGGCCGCTATACCCGCTATGGACTGCGGAATACACGCGGAATACACATACACGAGTGGAGAGGTCAGTTCAGCACTTCGCCATTGAAGCTCCCATTTAATAATCAGGAAAGTCAGTTTCGCCAATAATGACTTCATGGGAATCGATGGGCATGGGAATCTGTCTCCTCAAAATATCCGGGATGATATATACCCCGCTGCAGTTTAGGGACTTCTCTGTACTAACCGCTACACTTCGAGTATTCGGATTCAGGGTCGTCTGAACACTACTCGAAACAAAACAAAGCTGGTACGAATTCAGCATCAGAGCGATGAGAGAAACTTCTAATTCACCCAATATACAATCTAGGTGGCGATAAGGAATCACGCGACTATAACATCACAGAGAATGCTTGGGCATCAAATAGGCTCTCCTTGATCACTCGGTTGTGGATACGAAAGTGGCTCATCAGGAGCCCCGATGGTGACCTCACATCGTCCGAAAGGGTCAACGTGTACGTATCTGCACCATAACACTCACACTTACTCGTACACGAGGCCGACCTACACGTCAGATTTCAGTGGTCCATCGGATGACTCCAATTTCAAGTGCATGTGGATGAGCGTACCAAACACGACCTTGAGGCGTGAAGATAAAACACTTTGCAGGAAGCACATTGGCAATGTGGCATTGCTTACTTGAGACTCGAGACTTTCCATCACCACTTTTCCCTCTTCTGACTTATCAATCTTGAGCGCCTGGCAGATCTCAGCTTTATGCCGCTGGAAAAACGACTCCCAGTAGTCTGCAGTAGGGTCCTGACACCCCGAAAGTACACCCACGTCTTTCGGCGAAGTGATAGAGTGCAATCCAGTCACCTGCGTCCTCCAGTTTCCCACGGTCGCTGCCGTATGAGCCTTAGTCAAACCAGGAGTATTCTCCTCCACGGGCCACGACGATCCAGCAAAAGGAGCTCCCACAGAGCCTGAGGTGTCCCACAGTGCGCATGACACCATCGGGCAGCAAGGTTACTGAGATCCTGCACTGATTCCGCAGCCACATTTGCATCAGCGGCAGTAGTGTCGGCTAGTCGCGATAAGATGTCCGGAGGCAAGAGATTGATCGGGCCGATTATAGGGAACCTGTCAGGATCGTACTGCCCCCATAGATGGCAGTTTCCTCCCGGAAATTCCATCCAGGACCCATCAGACTTGTTATACTGGGTATCAAGGACCACTATGGCTGCCATACAAAGCTCAACCGTCGTCTCCATGATCCAAGATGATCAGGAACAGCGCGTCACATAGTCCATTTGCGCAAGCATCACTCAGTGAATGCCACTGTGCTTGCTCGCACGACTCGCCGATCAATTTCATGACTTTCGTTTCGCAAATTTCCGTCCAAGTATTGCTGACTTTTAGAGCCGAGTTCCACTGAGACTGTATTAGAAGCATTCACTCGAAGGGACTCACTGTGAGTCAAGCTGGTCCACATTGATGGGGTCCATGCCGACTGGGAGCTCCTCTATCCCACACAGGTTGCGGCCTACAACATAATCACAGCGGACAAGCAGACAAGACGGCTACCACGGAGCATCCTGAAACAACCGTGTTCGCCCCAGTCGTCCCCCCATGAGTTCATCAATAACCAAAACGGTACGTTGCCCTGACTAAACAAATCAACCAGCTCCGCGAAATCGTTGCTGTTCACCTCTACGCCGAAGCCAATGATTCTAACCGCATGATTACCGATCTCGGGAGAACCAGCGGTAGTTGTGTAGAGCCTGGAAAAGATAAACCCACTGCGCCCTTGCGATAAGCTGCATTGCACTTACGATCCCTACCACAAAACGGAACACTCTGAGTGCACTACAGTCGTATGTCGCTAGTACTAATGCCAAGTGTGTTGCGACGTTTTTAGTGAGAACTGCGTGGTCTCCCTTGCGGTATATCTCGGATTTTCTACTCGTGATGATGGCGATATGAAAAATATCAACACGAATATAGAGCACCGCGGATTTCAAATCTAGTCCGGATCGAGGTAGCGTTCCTCAATGAATCTGCTTTTGACCTACTCACCCGAATCTGTTGAACATGAAGAACTCTTGGAAATTGGCGTGAGCTCTGAAGGAAACGATGACCGAACCTAAGGAGGTGCCCTGACAATGATTACAATAAGTACGGTCGCTCACCTGTCTCCTGCACTGTACGCATCATCACAGCCTCATTAGGCGCCAGTATCTACCAAATACTCGAGGGGAATATCCTTCGATTCAACCATGCTACCACTGGATGGAAATGGTAGAGCGGCAGAATCTTGGCCGAGCTCAGTCCAAGTTCACTGCACTTGTGGCATCCATCACGACGACCATCCATCTATCAAGGAAGTCTCCCATTGAATCTAGCTGAGCCGCTCGAGCACCTCCTGAGTGCACCCAGCACTGATATAAGGACAGTGTTCGCTATCCGGCAGTCCGTGGCGTTGACTATATTGAATAGCTAGGAACGGTGAACCTCCGCCACAACCTGAATCGTGTCTGGGTACAGAAAGCGAGCCGTTCTTCTAACCTCCAAGATTCCCACAACTCAGAATAGGCTGGGGAGAAAGTTGCTTGGGATAGGTCGCACGCTGCTTGTCGATCTCAGTAGCAGACAAGGGCGGCCTTGACCTGTGGTAGAGCTCATCCGAGTATCATTCAGGGTCAACGTACCTTCGGATCAACCGCTCGTTCTCGACGCACACTCTATCAGTCCCCACAGTAGAAACCACAATCGCGAAACAGGAACCGCACATACCCTAAAAGATACAGCAGCACGCATGCGGCACGTACATTCGCGATAACGCCTTGCAAGTCACTCATTCGTCACAGGAGCGTCGCCAAGGACGAGGAGATCCGTCCGAAACTTACTTGCATGGCAACAGGGAATGGGCATTGGGGCCATTCTATTCTGGCGTCGAAGTGCTCCCTAGGACGGTATATCTCGCCGACTAGCCTTGCTTCCACGGAACACAAACGATTATCATTTCGCACCCAAATCGACACGCCCCTGAGGGTTATGATGGAGCCCTTGAGACCTATGCACATTTACAGAGATTCTGGTATCCACTTGGTCACTACGAGTGGCCGGGAGTCGCTGACAACTCTGGTTTCGACAAGAACCTAGCACTATAGTTCACAACTACTGCCATCCAAACATCGCTGTTCACCTTGAGGGCATCATCAGGAGGAGTGATGACTAAAGTGAGACTCGACGCGCTCCCAATACCCGCTCCAAAGCAGGGGGAGTAGCCGGTGGTGTGGTAGGTCAATACAGCATCGACCTAGCGAGAATAGCTTTGAGAGCAGCTCTGAAGCCTCATCCCAGCGAGCGCGCCTATTCAGCACCAATTCGAAAAACTTGTATGATTTAAGATTTCCATCAGTTTTCAGTCTTGTTATTCCCAATCAATGAACATAACATAGTCAAGTTGCAAATCTTATCCTCTTATTTCCACTAGTCGTTTCGAACCCTCCCCGGTAGGATGACCAAGCGGTAGGAGACCGTTAGCTGAGGTCTCCATAGACTCACCTGCACTCCGCTCTTCCCTTCAGAGACAAAACCGCCCGGGTTCCAGTGTCTGAACAACCAACACTAGAAGTACAATACGGCGACACGGAACATTCCTATGGTCTCTTCGACACACGGAACATGCCAAGCACAAAAATATGATTGCCGATCAACCTACGTACAGTCGTGACCAGTGACCGGCTGATATAGTAGCTCGAGATTGGATCCTCTCAGCGTGCACACCTGCTGGGACTAATACCGTGAGTAGTCTCAACAGAGCCCATGGGACCATCGCATGGCTGGCCATCGTAAAACATACTGAATCTGCTCGCCCAAGGGAACTCAACGCAAATTCACGGTTCGTTACTAACGACATGACATGGACAGAAGCAGTTGAAGTGCATGTAGATATAATATGGAAAGATAAATGTGTTCGCAAAGGAGTGGTATGAGTAGCATGCACAATTCTCAACTGCTCTCCGACGTCAGCCTGATGCCGAAATTCCTCGCGCACACCAGCATTACGCTGTTCATAAGGTCCCTATAAATGCTCTCAGGATCAGCCGTCTCCACCCCCTCACTCGGTCTTGGCGACGGGGCATCCCCCACCAACATATCGATTTCATTTTTCAACGCCGATGCCGCTCGCGCCTCAGCTCTTTGCTTTTTATTCTTCCTCATCCTCTTCTTCGACTCATGCTCAAAGTGACAGTACAAACACGACGGCCCAAACAGACATTGTTTCCCATCATTTCTCGCGAACACACAAGGCCTACAGCTGCCCAACGCGTGAGGGATGCTCCCACACGACAGAACCTCGCCCGTGACCGGATCGCGCGGAATTGCCATTATCAACGTCTCGCGATGGTGCTCTTGTAAAGCATCAAGATCAATACTAGACGGCCACCCTTTCCTCTTATGAAGCGACTTGGATGCCTTCGGACTCGGCGACGGCTCGGATTTCGACGCGATAGAGCAAGTACTGGCAGACTCCAAATTGGGAAGAGTGAGAGGAGGGGCCAGATGGTGAAAGGATAGGCTTCCTTCTCCACGCTGACCACTACCACTACTAATCCCACCGTCTTCTTCCTCGCTTCGGAGAAACACCTAATTAGCAATCCAATACTATAATATACTACTGATGTAGTATAATCCGCCTCCCCGTGGGATATAAAGGCATACACCCCCAATGTTTAATATATGCAATATACCACATATTAGCATTACGTTCCACCAATTCAAAAGTAGCATATGATCACGCATCACAAGGAACATATCCTTCTCGAATTTCAGGTCGAGACCCAAGAAAAAGATATTTCCTATACAACACCGCTTATGCAACTAGAAGCAAATAACCTCGATAACGAGAGTCCACTCACCTGAGGACACTCCATCCTGTCTGGTACCTTGCCGTCTCGATAGAGCAGGGATGTGATAGCGAGCTGCTGACGATCACACGTGCTACTCATCGGCATACTTCGGGTCTTCTTCTGCCGCCTCTCCCCTTTACCTTCTCTGGCTTGCTCATCGTCGAACGAAAGAAAGGTGTTGCGAATCGACGGTTGCATTGATGGTCCAACTAGGGACCTCATCTGAATCTTCCGCCCGACAACCCAAGATACGCCTCCCCAAGATACTTTTCATGTCCGAATTATACTTCATACCAATAATACACTCATCAACATCGACCATCTACGTTTTCATAGTATTCCGCAAGAAGTTCTGCAAAGCCATCAACCTCGCGTCGATATCCGCTACCTCCTTCGTCGAAGTCGAAGACACAGCCGGACCTACTATAACTCCTTCTTTTTGACCACCCTCTTTTCCAGTGGCCGGCACCGGTCGCTCCAGCATCGGACCAGCCCTCGCAGGGGCACCCACAGAGCTATCTCTTCTTCGCATCGGACTTGGTCTCCTCCTAACCGGACTCGGCCCGCGAGGAAAAGACGTGTTAGTGTCGAGCCTTCGCACTGGAGAGGCCCTCAAGTCCCTTTCTCTATACGGAGACGGCCTCCTCTGAGACGGCGGCCGCTGCGCGTAAGGGCTTACATACCCCACAGCGTAGTCCCTGGAAGAGCCTCGCGACCGCACAGGTGCCGACCCAACGCTCCCTCTCGAGCGAGACGACGTAGTGCTTGGTGGCCGCGTAGGCGGAGCTGCACTGTGGGGTCTTCCCCGAGTCGTAGCAGTAGAAGGAGGTGGAGGAGACGGAGACCTGCTCGGCCGCGAGCGAGTCGACATCAATTGCATCCTTGGCGAGACTGGAGAAACTCCTCGGCCCACCGACCGGACAGATCCTGCCGAACTGGGTGCCCTCGTCCGTTGTCGCGCAAGATCGCTCTCTAACGATCGAACCTGAGCCAAATCGATTAACATGGCGCGCGCTAGTGCGCCGGACAACCTACTTTCGCTCTAAGTTGCCGCTCTTGCCCTCGAGCACTATTCAACTCCTTCCGAAGCTTCTCCACTTCGCTACGATGCTGAGGAATGAATACACACTTGCCTCCGAGTAGTTCCACAAATACGAAACCAACGATAACCAAGCCGGTGCTCACTAAACTCCCCATACTCCGTATGTGACCACTACTCCTCATCAACGCTAATCTCTACGGTGTTCACCACAGTGGTTACGCCCTACTACCAGTTGCGCCTGCCGCATCTTGGCCTCCCTCAACTGTTTGAGTTCTACCATCAACTTACTATTGCTCTCCCTCAGCCTCCTCATCTCCCCCCCTTGCTGACCAGCTCGTGCTCCTGAGCACTTTCCAATTCACTTAACATGAGCTCCCATCACTACGGCCGCCTCTCCCTTCAAGGTCCTGCTGTAGATCAGCGCACCTCCTCACTAGCCTCTCATTTTCCTCTTCCAAGCGGGATATCAGCTTTCTAGAGGGACCCCCCCTAAAACACAGCCTTCCAGAGAACACTATTACGGCTTATCCCACCTCGAGCTCGGCGCTGGCTCAGCGCTCCCACTATCGATCGAGTTCGCCAAGTTATCGACAACAGCCGCACCACTGGCTCGTAAGTTGGTCCGATACACATCCTGAAAAGGCCATCCGACGAGAGTGTTCACAACACGGCTCTTATAATGGACATAGACTAGGGCTCCACCCACGCTGATTATTGCGAGTACTACTCATAGACTGATACCACATTGTTATTATAAACCTCTAACGCCTCGTCACAAAAATTGACAAGACACTACTACTGTTACTGAGTCGACTTCACCTCATCACGTCAACTCCATGAACGCTCCTGATAGTGATCACCTTCAATTCTCGGCTCAGTCGCTTGATCGTCCTCAACAGCGCCGCTGCATCCGAGCCGGGCTCCTGTCGTGCTAGGGCGAGAGGGTAATGGACTCGATCGTATGATGCCTGGACGGATGACAAGAATCCACAGGTCCTCATCCTAAGATACGGTTCATGTCCGACCTGATACGTGAGAATGAGATATCGTTTAGCTTCCGAATCCGGCAACGACCTCGCTGTCGACTGCGGCACTCCCCCACCGCCACCACTACGATGCCGCAAAAGCTCGAGGTCTCGTCCTCTGTAAACAAGGCTCTCCACCCAGGTTCAATCCCGGCACCCTCCTTTTTTACGTCAATATATCCACTGTGACAGTAGCATCATCGTGAACAGCCTCGTGCTGACTCGTATCAAGCAACGCGTCGAATAGCATTTGCGCGAAGACCCCGAACGATTTGAAATTGCCAGTCCGGTGAGTAATCTCCTCGATAAACCGGTTCGAGAACGTAGACGTCCACCTATGGGAAAAATATCAGATTCGACATGACCGACGACACAACCTTGTCCCTTCAAACCGCTCTTCACAAGATGCCGTCAAGTTGTCTCCATCAATTTCGACCTCGACAATATAATCAACATCGTGGAATCGCCGAGTGACACCTAATTGACGCAACAACCGCACATAACGGCCCTTCAGGAGCCCGCTACACTGAGGTCAACACCTCAGCACTACTGTCGCACTTCCTAAGGCGGTACAAAAATTACTATATTTATTATCGATAGATAATCTCAATACGATAGGAATATTTCCTCTTACTAGTATACTCCTTTAATACCTTATATCATGGTATTCAATATACTGTTGTCTATAATGAGGGCGTAATCACACAAGTTGGTCATGGCGATGTGTGTGTGTGGGTTTGAAGTTCAACACCGACGCGCATTAGTAGAATATTTTACACGACAGTAGCTCATACACAGTAGTTATTTTTACACGGCTTAGATTCACATCGTCATCTCATGTAGATGTTTATCACTCCAATTTGATTTCGACATAAACCATTCAACGCCGAGGCAATCCTATACAAACATCCTCACCAAGTGCGGTTGCGACGGCACTCGGCTAATACCACACGATGAAACATGGAACCCTCATCGCGTATCAATACCATCACATCAACCACAACGATACAGCACATATTCCAAGTTATGACCTCTTCTAATTCGATTCTGCCTGTCTGCTACTGTAACGGCTGCTGATGGGTCTCGTAGTTTGAGCGCAGGAGACGCTCCCGATGGTACAGTGGTGACCATATTGGCTGTCATCAATAACCTCCCTCACAATCACAGCGCTATTTACTCTCCTTATAGATCTCTATAACAACGCAGCACGATGGGATCGGTTCAATCAACTACTACTGGAAAAATGGCGAATACGGGTAGAAAATTAATTGTTCAAAAAATCCCCTCACCAGGGATCGAACCCGGGTCGGATGGATTTTGGATTCAAAAGGTCAAGTAAGACCCTTCTTCCACACATATCTTCATCATCACAGTGAAATAGCGAGCTAATATCTTAACGCACCGCGAAGATTTTTAAACATCATATGTTCGCAACCAATAATGTTATCCGGAATCACACACATCTGGAAACGGAGCGAATTTCAACATCTTCATAATGTGCCCAGGCAACTCAGGCAGCATCCCCCTAGGGACGAGATACGTCGACAGATTATGCAGATCCAGGAAAACCCTGAGGGCGAGCGAGATTGCAAAACCGCCCTTGTAATTAACACCTACCTGTTAGCCTTAGCAGCTCTAGTAAGATATTCCGAGCCCGAGGTGGCACCAGTGCCGATCTTCGTGCCAAGCATACGCTGGGCCATCTGGGCGTGCGCTACCCTCCACTGAGTGAAGCCGTTGTCGATCTCCAGGAGGTTTTGCAAGAACCTTAAGAATTACTCGCCCTCGCCCTATGACAGTATAAACTCACTGGAAAGGCATTTGCAGTAGAGGGAGATCTCTATACAGGAATATGAACAGCGCATTCAGCGTGGCAGTCCGCGACCACCGACGCACCTACAGTGGGATGCGTTCACCTGCTTAGTGGTGTTGTTGGTCTACCCCACGAGAGACCATTTCGGCATGCTGTTCATCATGGAAGAGAGATTCAAATGTCGCCCTGGTGGCTCTTAGGGCCTTCAGCTCTTGCTCGAGGCGATCCTCACCGTTCTGTTCTACCAAGACACTTTCATACTCATCCCTAGTAGGTAAGCCAAGATGTATACTAAGACTATCATTATTCACCGATTCGAATCGTATTCAAACAGGTAGACATAATTCTTCCTACTACTCGATTCCAATAATCTTCCGAGGGAGATAATTTAATTTTTTTTCGAGCTGGGTCATACCATCTCCCGCCATACAAGTCCAAGTGTCACCATTAGTGTCACCAACCCCCCAACCAACTCGTACTAGAATTTCCCATGAATGGGCATCCTCCATTCGGATGAGCCTCCTCCTCCTCATCATCATCATCCTCTCCAAACTCATCCCCCTCCGTTGAGCTCCGACCAAAGACCTGATCATCCCCATTATAACGAGGAGTTCCGAATTGGTCGCACTGATGGCCTTTCCCCTCAAAGTTCGTGCCGGGAAAAATACATAAGAAAATTTTCCTTCATTTTTCGGGTTTTCAGTAACGCCTATCGCTATTTCGTACTTCTTCAGGAATGAGAGACACTAGATTGAAGTTTTACAAAGCAAGTACCACTCCCCACTGAAGATCATCCTACCTGTCTAACCGTCTGTTCGTCGCTCTCGAGCATAGCATAGACAGCTGATTTGTATTGACATAGCCAATCAAAATTAGGTAGGGGGAGTCTCTCCAGCCACCTGCAGAGGAGAATTGTCCTCTCCAGGATTCGAACCCACGACCTCCTCCTCGTTTACTTTTCCGTCAGCTCAACCAAGCTAGGCTGACTCTCCCAATACACAACTCGTTCAATATCTTTAGGATGGAATTTCGAGAGGAAGAACTGAGGACTCCCGTATCTAACACGGTCAACAGACCCACCCAGGTTCGATCCCCGGCGGCGGCATTTTAACAACTCACTTTCTCCCCTCCCGACTGAACGGCAGCCCCATCATAACCTCAATAACCCTAAAAATCACAACACTTTCCCATGCTACTTTCGACGTCAACTAGTTGTACCTAAACTGAGCGCTCTGGAATCCGCTCGCTGGCATGAGGTAGTCCCTAAACTCCAGAAAGTCCATCGGTGTCATCGTCTCGAGGACCTAACCATCCTTCTCAATCTCCCTCACCAAGCAACACAGTGTTGGGATATATGTTTGCTCTCCTCAGCTGAGCTCAGGCGTTTCCTCGCTTATTATAGGCATTTACACACCATCTCAGTAGATATGCACAGAAATCAATGAGAATCTCTCAAAATTCCCTCGTGTTTTCATATTGTCACCAGCACATGAAGTTGACCATGTGCATATTTTACCAAACTGAACCAACAACCTACCGGTAGTGCACCCAGCAGCAGATTCTGAATATTCCGAACTCGACTAAGCCTGGAGAAGAGTGGCCGCTCATGACACGCCTGATGACAGTGCGTCTACCTCTCGTTGACAATGGCCATATCATGTTCCTCGATAACAGCTTTCGAGAAGATACCATGGACTGATTCGAATTCAAAGATGATTTGCTTAAACCACAGCTCGTAGGTCTGAATAGCAATGATAACGTCAAGCCACTGCTTGGATGACACGAGAGCTTCACTTCATATTAGTCTACCTCTGCTTAGCCACGTTGAAAACGACGTATATTTTATAAGGAAAAGTCGTATCACTCACGATGGCACGCTTTTCACGTTTCACTCGAGCAGTGTTGGCTGAATAAATTTTCGCTTTTTTCAGCTAAGTCCACAAGTTTCCTCACTGGATATAGAAGTTTACATACAAATTTGGGTAGAAATGTACAGAAACTATTGAGAATTTCCTCAATTTTTACCATAATTTTCACGAATGTCACTTACACACGTAGTTGACCATGTGCATATATTCCAACACTGCATACGAATGTCAGGTATAAACCCTACACCGAGTTTACTGCAATTTTGTAAGGACATATCACGGGTTTGATAACAACGGGGAAGATGTTCCTAATGTGATGACATTTACATGGGAAACTGATCGGAGAATGTGTTCCTAGCCATACGTGGAAAATTGAAAATGAATTTTCCCCGGGAACATTATAGGTTCCAGGATGATTCCCTACCAACATGAACGTGCGACTACCTGCGGGTCACTCGCCCATAGAATGCCTCTACCTAGGACTAGTCATCTCACCTGGTGAGTGATTATGAATAGCATCTCATCATGAGCAAAGCCGTGGGCAGACCCCACACAGCCGTCACTGTAACTGTATGAGCCCATCAACAGCCACAATCAATGCTGATACTCAACCTACGGTCGCTGCAGAGACAGCAGTTCATCCAGCTTGAGGTAGTCTGGGTAGTAGCATCGCGAGGAGCGGCGACCAAGACCTTGTTCAACCTGGCACATGTTAACTCGCCAATGCCGGTGAGAATCGTTTTACCTCCCTGATGATCGCTCTGGACTTAGGTGGTTTATCCGAAAAGTTAGAGTCCAAACTCCTGGCCGATGTAATAGAGTTGTTTCTCTTATGCTCTGGCTTGCTGCTTTCACCGAGAGGTGGACTGTCCAGCTTGGGAGCCCTTCTGAGATTCTCACCAGTGTCGATAGGGCATTTCACGAGGTCTTCCATCAACAGAGTAGTGTTGAAGCCAAGTAGAAAGCGCGACAAGACTGAGATCGATGACGTAATTCTCTGTTCGGAAACTCCGATAGGGAACTTTTATTCGTACCGTGTTGCATTGGAAAAATTTCAATTTCAGACGAGCCCTCGTATAGAGACCTCTCCTGTGTGGTCGAAAACACGAAGGTAGGCAGCTTTAGGGGATCCACATAGTAGGATTGGGAAAGCCCATGGCGTGAATAGTTGATGGTTAGCGTACAAGTCTCCCAGGGCGCGCGCTAAAATAAATCATGCATACGCAACCGCGCACGCCCTGAGATTTCATGGGATTTTAATAGGCAATTCTCCGGCTAGTATTCTACTAGTAGTAGAATACATTCACAATTTCAGAGGCGAGTTTCTGGCCTCCGGACTAGCCCCCTTCGATCAGTGCTAAGACTGATGCATGATAAACCCGGTTTTGTGGGTTGCCATTCCTTCCTCTTCTATATTCGTGGACCGTGTTACACCTTGGCACTGTCTATGGCTGTGACTCGCGTTGATCACGCTCGGGCCAAAGCTCTTTAATCATCAAACTGCGTAGCGACCCACTATAGGGCACCGGTTGTTGTCTACAGCAACAATGGCAATTAGCATATCACTGCATGTTACAGCCCGGCTGAACGAATATCGTTATGGCTGAATACGCTGGAGCTACAACGTACTGAACGTACACTTTGAGATGCAGGCTCCCACAACATATTAGCACGCATTTTCTCGGGCCCTTGTCCACTGGGTACTATCGAGAAAGTCGATGACTCTGTTGCGAACGAGTTGCAGCTCGAATATCCAGGTGAATCGAGAGATGTTGATTGCCTCAGCAAATTGTTATCAATCGAGTTGACGAGTTTCACGTCGGCCGCTGTGATCGAGTTCAAGTCTTTTTGGTAGCAATGGTCACTGTTTGACAGTAGGCGGTTTCTTGGATTACTGCGTTGTTACAACTATGCAGTAGTCGACCTGAACCGCCAATACAAAGACTGGACTCAATGTGCTGAGGTCTACCTTGCAATGGAATCTCAGTCCTACACAGTTCACACAGACCACTGATAACACACATCTTTGCATGAAGTTGTGATGACGTTAACACGCTAGGTTGTGTCCAGGCTGACGACAGAGCAATTCGAATAATCAGAGATATTGGGATTCGTCCAGTGTTGTGTAGAGGATATTGCGGTAAGCAATAAGAATTCGAGAAAACTCTCATTGCACTACTCAACTATCATCAGTGTCTCACACTTGCGTTGATCCAATGACTTGCTAATTATCCACCGTGTGATGCTGTTGAGTTGTTAATTCCTTCAAGGAGAGCGCATCCCATCAGTATCAGTAGAGTATGAGGCGAAGACGATCACGGGTTTTCATAGCCCTCTGGGCTCTCATCAGAGCGAAGGTTGACCGAGTGAACAATGCAACTAATTCAACACCTTCTGTGAGGCCAGTATCTACCACCATCTGAATCACATCGCAGATAATATCAGAAATGCAGCAAAGATCGTTGAGGAGGTTGGCAACGATTACATCCAGTTTCACTCAACTCGGTATCACTGCTGAAATTCGTCTCAATGGGGAAACCACAGCAGGTGAATGAAAACCAGTAGGAAAGGAAGACACTTCCCTTGCCTTGTAGCGACCTCGTCAACGAAGCTTCACTCTGGAGTGGCCATCACATCTGTTGAACTCTACTTGGGAACTGGTCACGACTGGAATCCTACCTATGGTCGCCTCAATATAGTGGATGGCTCAGTGACAGCGACAACTGCATGGGTGAGAATTGCAGGAAATGACAGAGAAAATGCCATTGAGAATCAGCGTGAGGCTATTGACACTAGTATGGAAAAATATGCACATGGTCAACTACATGTGTTGGTGACAATATGAAAATTCTGAGGAAATTGGGGGGAATTCTCATTGGACTCTCTACATTTTTGTCCAAGTTCGTATATAAACTCCAATAATTAGTGGAAAAACCCCTGAGCTGGGGAGAAAGAACATACATTCCAACGCTGGTTAACAAAGTGTTGAGGCAGTAACGATTCTCTACTGGTCAGGCTGGCGCCTGTGCTCCAGGGTCCTCACAGAAAGGAGGGAACTATGTGAACACTCCTTGGTCCGACACGACGGGTATGCCTACAGCCTCAGTAGCCAGCTCGCCCAGTCTAGTCGCCCAACCAACCAGTGAGATACTGTCGCGGATCTCAAAACTATTGCTTGTTTTACCCTTAGCTGTTTCGGCTGAGGGGTTGCTCAATTTCCGCATGGGAGGCGAGTTCACGGTCTGTTACTCCGACACAGGGACGTTCGCGGCCTACCACGGAGATGTGAACTTTTGAGTATCAACATTGACTGTAGAGCATCTATCGTAGGTGCCTTCAGCAACTCTGCTGGTCACTGGTATTTATTCTGATTGCACGACCGACAACTGCCTGGCCGAGACTAGGATGTCTTGTTATTTGTTGAGAAAGCAACACTCATCTAAAGGGAGCTGTGGATTCGACTTCACAGGAGCTGACCAGGCACGAGCGATGGGGAAGCATCTCTGATGGAATTCCAGTGAAATGCGAATAACGAATCACTCTACAGGGTTGGATATGATCAGTGCCGTGCGCAGAAATGTGCGCATAGTCTACTACATGTTTTAGTGACAATATGAAAATTCCGAGGGAATTTTTAGAACTTCTTGTTGGTTCCTGAACGCTTCACTCGAATTGGTACGTAAATTTCTATAATTAGTGAGAAAACTGCTGAGCTCAGCTGGGGAAAGATAATATATATTCCAACACAGGATTAGTGATAATAATGACGGCTTCTTGGACCACGTATGCTTTGAAACTCCTAGTCGGCACTCAGTTGATTCGCTCGACCAGCCTCAAGCTGGTGTCTAAGTTCCGATCGACCGCTCAGTGGAACTATCGCAAGCTCCCCAAATTTCTCCTACGTATTATTGGATTTCCCTATGCCTGAATTCGCACTTCATAGACTGGGGAAATTCTCGGAAACTCGAAGTGAACGTTGTGAATACAGTGGAGAGTTCCGTCTTGGAGATTACCATTTTCTCCCCACAACACTTCTTTTGATTACCCTCAGGGCTTCTACAGGCGTACGACAGGCACAAATGGTATGGCAACATGGACAGCTGAATGGACAGCCACTTACTCTACAGAAGGACTCGCTACTGTCACCTCCCAGAGCACTTGCGGGTCGGGAACAGCTGCTGCCCAGTTCCTCTGTCCTGATGGAGAAGGCTGCTCGGGGGGCTCGAGACTTCTCACGCCTGGTAGGGCAGGAGGCGTACATGCATCAATTTGCCGATTTTTCTATCAGTATCTGCTCCATTCATCTAGAGGGTCTCTTGTCCTTGTCCCTCGATCCTTTGCATCCCTCGAGCTAGTAAGGTGTGTAAGATGCCCTCATTGGAAATCGTGGCACTCCATATGTCCATATCGTATGATTATGTTCTCTCTGGTCACGTCTATTTGTATTCCTTCGATTTGCATCATCTTTCAGTGACGTCGTCAGTAGTAGGAGGAAAATACGGTAAAGTGGTCATCACGATTCCGCAGGGAATGGAAAACCTCGACGGCGACACCTTCAGACCGTGAGACATCCTCTTCAGCTCACCGTCAAGCTCATGGACGTAGATACACTGTAGGGGCATGCTACTGTCCTAGCTATGATAACTCTGGTGGAAGTGATGAGTGCCAACAGACTACCGAGTATACACAGTCTATCGGAATTATCAATTTCTACACTGCGGAACTCTGTGCAGCGGGCGACACTGAATGTAGAGGATTCTACACTCTTTCATTCCCAAATTCAGCAAGTGAAAGAACAACTATTTATTCCGTGAAAGACTCCTTTCATCCTACTGAAATCAATTTCATTTCTCTACTTTGTTCTCTCATCCGCTGAATTTGAGTTTGAAAAGGTGTAGATGCAGAACCAGGTTATTTTGGATTGCATTGATTGATTTCACTTGGTTGCTGCGATCAGGTTCGATACCGTATATTGGCGTAGCCGCCGAGCACTCGTTCAAGCTCCGCGTTGGGTGCCCAACAAACGCCTGTGCTGCTGCTGATAACAATAGGTTTAAAGTACAGCTAGCATCTTGGACCGATCCAGGTGAGCACAGTCGTTGCAATAGTCCCTCTCTGAGTAATCCTTAGGCAATACCGGTGAGATCCCAAGCTGGAGTGCCAGCCACATCTGCAAGACTGGTACAATGTCCAGCCTGGTTAATACGTCAACGGGGTCGCCAGGTTGGCATCGTCGTGGGTCTCTCACTGTGTTGAGCCTCAGGCTTTGATAGGCACGATGAGCGGTGGCGGTCGACAGGACTATAAGGAGTTCGGCAGCGTCTCGGATCCGCTGGGACTGGTTACGGGAGAAACTCCTTATGAACGAATGGCCTTCCACAGCGTTAAGTACTTCGATGTGTGTTATTGTGATGGGAGTTGTGGCAACGATAGTAGGATGCGAGGATCGAACCGGGGACCTCTCGGATGAAAGTCGGTGGTATCAGGTGACTACTTCAAAGTCGGGATACTGCGACTGTTGCCATTCCGTCTCGCATCTGCCGTTACTAACACAGCGGACAGGCCCTTCTTACAGTAAGTCAGCGCAGTCGACCGCATGAGCCTTTCCTTATAGATACGTGAATGCACCAGCGTCTATAGCTCTGTACAAGCCAGAGGACTATGATGACGCTCTTGGCTTCGCTGATGGAGGTAAGTTGGAGTTGAGGTGGCTTGGCAGGTGGGCTCATGAGGAAACTTTTGCTCACAATGTGAAGATATGCACAGAGTCAACTACATGTGGTGGTGGCGATATGAAAATTGCGAGGAAATGCTGATTGGTTTCTGTACACTCTTACTCGCATTCATACACAGACTCCTACAGTTTGTGAGGAAACTTCGAACCTAAGCTGAAGAAACAGAACATGTCGTTCAACACTGCTCTCGTTCGATCGCTGTTATCGAGCCTCAGCTCGCTATTCGATCATTTGAGCAGATGTGGAAGTTTTCAGGCTTGGTAAAGGTTCTTGAAGACTCCTCCTCGTCAGCTCTGCCCAGCTCTGAGTGTGCTCAAAGGTACGTCCCATGATGGCCTTCACGGTTGGTACTCTGATTTCTCAGACCGTATGATAACACGCTGTTGGATGGTCTTACAGCCAGCAATGCTGCAAGTGAATACAAAGGCGTCACAAACAGGTGAACTCTGCATTCGTCGACTTCGTACATTCAAGTTACCCTGGTACTTATACCTTGGGGAACGATCTTGAGCGCGCGCGTTCTGCGCTCGATGACGACAGTATATTAGTTACGATAGACTCATGTTCAACGCTGGCGACTTGAGCAAAGACGTGGCAGTTAAGACGGCTGGGATCATGGCTCTATGCTACTGCGGCATAATAGAGAACAACGCGTGTGGAGACCACTCTTACTGGGTCGTGGCTGGGAGGTTCACAGTAGGCCACTACGTAGATATGACATTGTAGGACCAGCAGCATACGCATTCAGATTCGCGGTCCTGATATCGACCAGAATTGGATATTCTCTACTTTTATCGTCTTTCGCTTTGAACTCACTGGGTAGGGGTCCTCCACTCAGTCGCCTGGGGGATGTTCTATGTGTATTGTAGGTGGGGCCTTGCTGATGGTGACACGGTAAGGATCGTGGAGCCTGATGCGAAGGTGAGCGGTGACACCAAGCAAGTGCTCCGATGGTGTTTGACAGTGCGCCGATAACGGCAACGACCCGGTATTTACTGTGGCGACTAACGCGTGGAATTGCCCTGATGTGACAGCAGTGGGCTGTACGTTATTGACGAACGCGGATGACATTCCTCTTACTATAAAGGCCCATGATCGAGTACGTGGGTTCTCAATTCATTGAGGGCTACTCATACGTTCAGGTGGAATGCGATGCAAAAAACCAGTGTACAGGAAATGCGTACATCACCGCGGTCAGTGTCAATGCTTCGACTACAACTATGCTGACTTTCGCTGAGCCCCCCAAGTTGGACTCCCTCGATTGGATCGTCCTCACTGGGAGCGGCTATGCTTGTGATTCTCGGTGTAAGTGCGCCACGTGGTTGGTCATCGCCGATGCTCGGAGGCACGACCCGGGCAGCTGTCTCGTCGTTTGGACTCTCTCTAGCAGTGTTGGAATATATGTTCGCTTTCCTCAGCTGAACTCAGGAGTGTCCCCACTGACTATAGGAGTTCATATGCGAATTCGGGTAGAAGTGTACCGAAACCAATAATAAATTCCCGAAATTTCCTCAGAATTTTCATATGGTCACCAAGACTTGTAGTTGACCATGTGCATATCTTCACACACTGCTCCACAGAGAGAAAGTATAGTTCACGACCTGTTGGCATACAGTGTTCCACTGCTTTGCTCGACTGCGTATAGCGTCCTTTGACTCGCGTGTACTGTTCGAGAAACTCAACATCGAAATATGTTCTCGCGCGCTCAGTGCATGCTTGCTGCTAGTAGAGCTTAGTGGTAAAGCATGTTTGTGAATCAGGGTGAAGAGTATAATACATTGTACTGTTTACTGAGTTTCAAATCACTGAGTTTACCACAGGTTCTGAAGAGCAGCTGAGGGCTTTGACAGGGGTCTTCCCGTATGGGGACTCCAATGTCAATGACAACAGCCTGGCTGACTACTATGAAGTCGGTAATCAGGTGACCAAAATATCACATACAGTGTATTCGATACCTCTGGGTTGGAGTCTGGACCCGCCGACTTTTACTGTCACGCAAGGAGAATGGAAACGCACTAATAGAGCTCAAACTAGAGAGGAATTGAAAGGTTTAGCAGAGCGAAGCCGTATGAAAGTTTGCTGGGCTCCGAGTGGAATGCCGGGGAAGTATTTGGCTGAGGTAGGGAGACTCTCTGTTGTCGACCCGTCCGTATTGCAAGGCGTTGGGATACATCTAACCACAACTGCTGCAGGAGGTGTTCGAGCTCCCGTGGTGATCAGCTTTAGGACGGCTGAGGGGAGCACGGGAGCAGCGTACTCGACAGCGACGGGAAGGATGGCCTTGAGAGTGGTGATTAAAGTGCCGCGAATGTTCGACATTCATTATTCCGATGTTGCTATGAGTAGTATTGGATTGACAACGAACGAGGATGAGCTGCATGAGGCAAATCAGCTAGTGTGTGGGAAGATATTTAGGGAAATGTGGTCGGATGACGCAGAGTTTGGATTTCCTCAGCCGGAGGGATGCTACTATCGCAGTATTATGCCCGATGGTAGCACGATCACCTCGAGGGAAATCACGGTGGTTTTTGCGAAGCGGTCAGGGCTACGTGCCGGGCAGAATTACCACATGGTGGTCGTGGGTTCGACCTCCACAGGCGCCAATTACAGAAATGACGCATGTTGTGGCAGCAAGTCTTGTGGCACCTCCAGCGACTCGGACGAACTGCGTAGTTGCGAATATGTCTACTTGTTCATCCATGAAGACATCGACAACAAGCCATATTCAGCGCTCGAGATGGGCCGAGGACAACTGTCGTCCCCACAAGGGATGCCAAGTGGAGGGAGGACCACGCCGAGCTTCGCTACAAGAGGCTTTACGCTCGTCGGAGGGACTAATGGTAAGTAGTGCGATGATATCGATCACCATGGCGCGCGCTTGCCGCATTCGTCAGGTTATATTGATGTTGGGAACATGAACTCTATTGATTTCGAAATCAGAGGCGGTGATAACATCACGACGGGCCCTATCAAGGCGGGGTATCACGTTAGAGTCATTCTATGGCCTTTGACTCAGTGGAGGGTGGGAGCTTTGTGCACCGCAGTATGCCTTGAGGTCCCACCGGGAGAGGACAACAGACTGTGTGGAAAAGTCCAGAGCTGCGTTGGCGAGCCTGTTGTGCCGGGCTTCCCGAACAACAAGGTAGGCTTATATCCACTGGGGATTTCAAATGACGGAATTGAGCGGAGCGACTGAGTTTGTGTGGTTGCTGAAAATTGAGGGTTTGAAGTATTCAATTTGATAAAACACTTCGTATCGTCACTTGAGTGAAGCTAGGGGTGAACGGAGGGAATGCGGGGGGAAACGAACTTGCAGAGTCGTGGAAAAGAAACCCATCCAGAAAACCCGACGGAACAATCAGACTTCGGAACTGTTATACAGTCGAAGGCTGTTATACAAGGCAACCAGATACCCGAACTGTTATACAGTTGAAGGCTGTTATACAAGGCAACCAGATAACCGAACTGTTATACAGTTGAAGGCTGTTATACAAGGCAACTAGATACCCGAACTGTTATACAGTTGAAGGCTGTTATACAAGGCAACTAGATACCCGAACTGTTATACAGTTGAAGGCTGTTATACAAGGCAACCAGATACCCGAACTGTTATACAGTTGAAGGCTGTTATACAAGGCAACCGAGCACTATAGACGAGCAAGTTGCTCGTCTATAGTGCTACTCGCTCCGAGCAACGACGTCACTCACGCGCTTGAAAATAGTAAATTGAATAACCTAAGCGCCTGCCCTCAGAGCTTTAGTCGCTCTGGCACATTGGGTCTTTCAAGCTTCCGCGGTAAACATTGGTCATTGCTTAGGTAAAGATCCAACTACCCGCGGACATGCCAGACCTTGTTGGAAATGAGGTTCGAAGACTTTCCATTGTCGGCATCAACGTCCCCAGCGGTGGATTCTTCCCGGGCCGCCTGGGGGCTGAGATAACTGACCAAAACGATGAGTACCCGTGGTACACCGAGTCTGTCGGCGATTTCATATGGAAGTCACCGGACACTGGGCGGACTATCGCCAGGCTCGTTGATAACGGTCTTGATGGGAATAGTAGACCCTATAAGGGCGATCAGAGTAACGTCATTTACGCCCAACTGCTGTTGGGGGCTACACTAAGGACGCTCCAAGGAGCTCCTTCGGCTGCCAAATCCAAATTGACAATAAATCTACCTGAAGGATATACCTGTGTAGCGGTGGAGAGTGTTGGGATGGACTTGGAACACTTCGGAGCTGTAATCCCTCAGGGCAGAGGCATGGTGGCGTCGGCGAACTGGACGTATGCTGATAACAAATGTATTCTTGCTTTACCCGAGAACGGTGTTGTCCATGCGGGGAGCTCCTTGTTTATAAGAATCACCGTGGACAACCCCACGACGGCTCTAAGTGCCTCGGACGAGTCAAACGTGTGGACCGTCGAACTGGAGGGTGCTGGAGATGCTTACACCAGCGGCGTTATGAAGCGAACAACCGCTGAGGTCTTCAAGGGCGACGGTAGGCTCGGAAGGGCTCCTCTTTTTTGAGTATCTAGAGCGTCCGTCTCAGAAAGCGCAGGAGGGACCGTCTCACCGTCGAGAAGATGGTCCGGCAACAAAGCGGTGATTGCCCTGTGCTGTGGAGTTCAGTGAGATCTGTGGTAGGTACTGGGCAAGATGTCTTTGTTGCACATTGAGCCTTCCGAATGGATCGGCGGAGCGACGCATCTTATCCGAATCTTCTTTGCCACGGAGCAAGACATTACCATCGGTGGACAAATCGAAGTGCTCCTGCCGGTCGGCTTCATCGTCCCTAGTCCCTGCGAGGCGGCCGATCTCGACCGCCGGGTGTACACGCTGAGCTCAACCGTGCCGACAACCTTGCGCGTTATGGGCCTCGAGGCCGGGTGTCGTGTCGTCACTGAGGGCGCTCATAATGGTGCCGCTGTGACCGTATCGGGCAGACTGGTCGCTAGGCAACGGTATGCGTTCGGCCTGGTCGTGCGGAATCCACCAGTGTACAACTCGACGCATCAGGACTCGTGGTTCCTCTACTCTAGGGACTATAGCGGTCGTAGGATGGACGGGTCCTATGGAAGCGTGCCTCTCAACGAAGGCGAGCCGACAACTTCTGGGTCATGGGGAATGTACCAGGAAAGCCTACCAGGAGATTCCTTCAACGTAACTGTCACTGATCTTCGACCGTTTGCTTTGAGCGACCAATACGCTCGGGTGGTCGTTGGCTCGATAAAGCTCCCTATGACGTTCACTGGTGCTGTAAGAGTGACAGCCCCTCAGGGATTCCTATGGCGCAACGTGGACGCCTCGGGGTTTGCGATGAACCCTTCGGATGGCAGTAACTACAGCGCGGCTTGGCCCGGTGGAGTGCCATCTGTTGCTTATGGTAATCAACTCCTATTTCAAACGGCCACTTATAGCGGAGCTCACACCTACGGCTTCGAGGTGGACGTAGAGGTCCCTGATAGAAATCCGGGCTACAGCGAGTGGCGAATCGAGGCAGGTTGGGACGCAACAACCCCGGAGGCCCGGCCTTGTATAGGGATAGTCACTGGCCTCCCAGTGAAAGCCCTCTCCGAAGGATTCGTCCGGCATACCTATAACGCAGTAGGACAACAGAATGCGGTCATGTTTCGGATAAGAACAGAAACTCATCTGTACGGACCTGGCGGAATTGTGATAGAAATGCCCCTAGGATTCTCGTCGGTGCCTTATTGTATGCCACTGGGAATCAACAATGGTCCCAGTACCTTCCCGAGCGACATTCATTGTGCGTATATGTCCGCGATAAGCCCGTATCCAGCGATATCGATAATTGGTAGTCGAACTGGTGGGATACCAGCGGGGCTTTACGAGTGGCGACTGGTCCTCAACAATCCCGATGAAGTGTCTGAGCTGGTCACGGATGACGCGACTGACTGTGGCTGGAACCACTGTTTCACTTTTTATGCCCTCGGAGACGTCCTGGACTTCGCGACAGCGATCGACTACCAACTGACCGTTAAAGGTGTGCCGACGGAACAGGTGCGAGTTGCTCGGCCTCCTCATAGGTTTTCCCATTACGAGGAAGATGGTCGAGGCCCGGATACCTTTCTTGAGCGCTCAGGAGCGTCTGGACACCGGGAGGGATGATCGTCCTGGACGGAGGAACAACATCATATTCGCTTTCCAATTGAGTTCGGACACTCTCGGCTCGGACAATGACGGTTCCCCGATGGTATTCTCCCTTCGTGGGCCGGAAGGCTTCATCTTTGCCGAGGATTGCCTGAGTACAGTCGAGGTAGCGGAGGCTAAAGTCTTTGGTAGCTCTGCTCGATGGCCTCCTGAGTACGCCCCATGGCCGTCCTCCGTCGCAGTAGTTGAGTGCGTCGGGTTGGGTTCCGAGGCGGCGATTAGCATGTTGCCGGGTGAGGGCTCTGGTTTGATCTCTGGGAAAGGCATCTTCTCCCGCATCTCCGCTCAGGTCTCGAAGGGAATAAATTGTATGCAATTCGAATAGGGGTGGTCCGAAATCCGGAGGTCACCCCGCCGATCAACGAATGGACGATCTCTTTCAACAGCGAGACCAGTGAACCCTTCGACGGTTTCGATCTCGGCACTGCCGAAATGGCGACAGTCGAGCCAGTCAGTACAGCCGTGTAGGCGACCCATTGTCGGCTAGGGCTTCAATACTCTCTCAGAACCTCCGTGGATGCTGAAGCCAGGCTCAACCCGTTGAGTATCAATTTCATACCGCGTCAAACGGTGAACCCTGTGAATACTCGGGCTGCGGGGGCCTTCCTCCTCGTTGGAGCACCGTCGGGCTTCAAGTTTGCCCATGAAAGCGGCACCTGCAAAGCGCATGTTATTGAGCGGCCCTACTATGACGATCGTGGCGAATACAACTCGGGGGGTCAGTGGAACGAGGAAGACTCCTTCTGCATCATACCAGATGTAGCTCAAGATTCTTTGGTGAGCCTCTGGTTCCCCTGCGATTGGTTCCCATGGTGCGATCTTAGATTTTGCGCCTCAGAAGCACGGTGAAAATGGTCTCTGACAGAGACTATATCATCATCGTGGGAGTTTATAATCCTGTCACAGTCACGGCAGTGGGGGAGAAGCCTGGCTCATGGCGGCTCGAGACGTACCTTGGGGAATCGATCAATCCGGAACTTATCCTCGATGAGAATACAATGGAAGGCTTCGTCGTCAACGAGGCGCTCAACGCCTGGGAGTATGTCAACGTGGACGAACAGGGTCGCAACCAGGTGAGGGTGCCAAAGACAATCATTCGGTTGCAGGTGGCGTTCGAGGGCGTAGGACTGACAAGTATGAGTTTAACTCCTCAGGTTAACGGCAATTCCATCGTGCGCAACTTACGTTTGAGGCTGCAGTTCCCCGACCGACTTGTTGATGGTGACACGGTCGAAATCAAGGCACCGGAAGGCTTCCCTCTGGAGGATCCCCAGTCACCAGGCACTTGTTGGAATCTCACGTTCGTCCAACAGCCTGGCGTGACCGGTGTCCTCCCCAATTCTCTCGTCAACTGTTCCCAAGGTCTCCTGACTATCCAAATCCGCGACCTCTACCCGCGTGAGTCAGACCTCACTTTTACTCTCAACACTCGCAACCCTCCGTCCACCCCATTCATCACCCATAACTGGTGGATTGCTCGTCACTATGCCACCATGGGCATTCAGAGCTCTCAAGCGATCGAGGGCTGGCGAATCATTCCGCTTTTGCTAAATGCAACTGTGATGGTCACTGGACCCTTACTGAGAGCTACGGTGACGTCCAGCGTCCAAGTCAGCTTTATTAGCATCAGCCAGGCGGATACTGTCTTCGTTGAGGTTGCCGAACCGCTCGGTTTCGACTTTTCTGCCGCGGCGGCTTACAAGTCTGATCCGACCGCTGCGCCACGAAATTCCCTGAGTGTGGCCTCCCAGGATAGGCTGGTGGTGACTGAACGGACCGGATCCTCGATAAGATTCCAGGCTGAGATTGCTGGTGGCGAGTTATTGGTGTACGTCATCACTGACGTTTGGCTGGGGGACGTTGGTGGCCCTACCCGATGGCATCTCCATACGAGCTACTTTGAGGTGGGCCCCTCCCATCAAGGAACGCACTACTGCACCTTGTGTATTGTATTTGCGAAACGACGAAGGTGTCCCCGATCGTAATGTTTCAACGTTGAAATCACATATCTTGACATTGTTCCGCAGTGATGAGTCGAGTAGTTCACGTGGATTTAGGTGGTTCAAGATGTACGGTCCGATCTGGAGGGATTTAGACTACCTGGTGACCTGCCAATCCAATCATCACTCGTAGAAGGGTCTCACTCTAGGTGTCCTGACTATTGAATCGAAGGAGATACTCTCTGAATACGTTCAGCAAGCGGTGCAGTATCCAATACGATCGCAGTGGGGTGTCCGAACTGACAGCAGGGCCATGGTGGTCTTCGTCTTCTTCCTCACCCAAAGTGTACCACCAGGAGGGGTGATCCGTCTGACCACGGGTGGATACTCTGTTGAGGGGGATTTCGACCTTGCCCAGGCTGATGGTACCAACGTGACCGCTGCTGTAGGAGGACTTTAACTCCATGTAGGTCGTCATATCAATACAACTGTTGTTTACTACGAGGGCAATAGACTAATAGCTCGACTAAAGCAAGAGGGTCTGACGCTCGCTAGAGGTATCCTCTATCATTCTACTGTAGCCTCTACTGTGCCCCGTAGAGTACCGTCTCGTTGTAACGTGCTTTACACCATCTAAAGTAGCAGTAGGACTCAGTGCTTGGCGACTGGAGACCTGGGGTGCTGAAGGGAACCATCCTGATGGTAGCGATAGAGCTCTCCCAGTCGTTATGAGGATCTCGGGCCGTTTCAGTTGATGCTGACGGTCTGCTGGCACTGCCACTGAATACTGATGATGGCCTTACTAGTAGGGTCACTTGAATGAGCATATCCTTCGGTCGGCAACCTTAGGTGGCTTCAAGTTGGTATACCCACTGGAACTAGTAGTTGGTGCTGTACGTAGCCCACCAAATGCGGTTATTGAAGTCAGTGTATTGCTGAGCCCGGGGGCCGCACGGTAGGGTCTCACCTACACGTCCTACCACTCCTTGGCCTTATCGTCGTCAGACCTTCTGAAGCGACGATAGTAGCACCACCGACCTTCGTCTTCCCAGAGGATTGCCTCGCCTTCGGAGGAACGTCTCGTGTTGTAACACGCGGATGATCACCGCCACCCGATACGCGTGGAGGCTACATCGGCCTTTCAGGTCGTCACGAGTTGCACAGCCTCAGCAACTGTGGGTGACCGCCCTACTGCCAAGCTGGCTTTTCGAACCGCTATTTCTGAGCCAACTTATGGCCTCGTTCTGAAGGTGAAGCCTGTTCGATGAGCTAGTGAAGCGAAGACTTCGCGGTTTAGGTTTTGACACCGTCTCGAACGCCCGTTGACACAGTGCAGTGGTTCGTGGATGCCAGACTGATCTCAGGGGAGAGGATAGGCTGGGGTGAGAGCACGGCACAGTTCGAGGTCGTGCAGATGAGGTGAGCGTGTGGTATGGGATGACATTTCCCGACTGCTGGTGATGTCTTAGGTCAGTAAGCATCACATACGCTTCAGTGACGAGCATCGTGAGCCAAACAGCTTTCACTTTCGAGAATGTAAGTCCTCGAGGTCGTGTGCCCTCGAAATTCGAGGCTCGAATGGGCGCGTAGGTTCTCCAAGTCAGCGCTGGTGCAGAACTGATGGTTGTTTATCCGCCAGGCTTTGGGTTTTCCTGTAGCACACTGCAGAAGATTTCGCTGCCATTCTATTCGGTGGAAGTGCGCTGCCTTCAACCTCGGATGTGCCCGTCAACGAGTGCCCTCAGAATGTTGCTGACATCTGCAGAGTCGATGACTCAACTGATCCGAGTAGGCCGTACTTAGTTGTCACTCTCACTGAAACACTGGTGGGTCGATATAATGCGGCAAATCCGAAGTGGTGGAGGAGTTGGTCAGTTCCCTGGCGATTACGCCTTTGTTATCGACGCAATCATGCCTGAGGAGCGACCAACATATACAGGGTTTGATTTGATCCTCACGCTCGATGCTAATGTGAGTCACCTTGAAGTACTCCTAAACTGCTATCATTGAGATGGTCGTAGGTTATCGATGCAGCTACCGGTGTCATGGGCCCGAGTTTCGACGACGGGGCTCAGCAGGGAGCGGGACCGATTCTTGTGCAGACTGTCCCCAGGCCAGATTGTCTACGATGGTGAGAGCCCATGTCGTGACTGTGGTGGGTATTCGCTATCAGGTACCCATCTACAGTCCAGGCCGACACCAAACTCGGAGTGGAAGTACGGTTCGAGGTCCTGCAGCAAATTACCCCAGGTCCTGTTGGGGCCATCCTCATAGTGTTTCCACCGGGTATGTCTTTTGAAATAAGACTGATGAGGGAGAAAGGCCACTGCTTAGACTTCGTGCACGCCGTAGAGCATACGACTGATGTTCTCAACTTACAGAATTTCCCGGTGGACACAACTGAGGACAAGTGGGTTGATTTCACTCAGAAAGTAAGACACTCTGACTATCATCAGGTGAGCTCGGCAACTTTCTCAGGAACGTTTGCTCATCCACGCCTCTCCCAGTGATACTATCCTGAAGATGGAGTACTGGTTCCGATTCCCAGTGTATGTCCCGCAACACATGCCACCGACAAACGTCTGGTGGGTCTCTTTTCGGCCCAGCTATTCCTCGGCACCTCGTCAGGTTCGTCACACTATGCGATCAGAGTGGCGGGTGCTCCTCGATTCGGGACTCCGGTGTAGAAAGGTGTCTGCCTGGTCCGCAAAGCCTTTGTATTCAGGTGATCGTGACCATGCCCATCGGAGGCTTCGATATCGGTGATGTCCATCCGAACACCCAGTTGAGGCTCATAGCATTCGCGGCCTCTCCGATTCATCCTTCACTTCTTCTCACACTGGTGAGTCCTGCCTCATTAGTCTATTAAGAAACCTCCCAGCAGGTTATAACACTGTTGTATAGTTGCTAGCAAGCATGATCATTTTCTGTAGGATCATCCTATCGATGTTGTAGACACCATGTGATACTTGAGTTCAACCAGTTTCAGACAACGTATCGGAGTACTCCAACATGTGAATCCATGAGAGTCTCGTTAGTCGACCAGACGAGTCGGGGTTGTGAGTCGGATGTGATGGAGTAATTCGGTTAAGGAGTTTTAACTGGACTGATTTGGGCGTCGACGCCTTATGGGGTGTATCCCTGGTGGGAGTCCATCGTTCGGCCAAATGAGTTCACTCGAAAATTTGACGATGACCTATCGTTGAGGGAGTCCAAGATCATGCCGGAAGGTGAAGAAACAGGCACACAACAGAGCCACGAAACGAACCTCCATGTTGAATGATTCGTTTCAAATTGAAACTTTTAATCTCTTGAACCCCATCGGAGACGAAGATTGGAAACATCTATTTCCTGCATATATTCCTGCGTATTGCGAAGAAATAGACAAACTATGACAAGCAACAGAACAGCTCACTGCTAGCCATAACTGGTCGGACAGATTCCATAGCATACGACTATTGGACGTTCAACCTCGAGTTCGTGTGTGACTCTGAAGGGGAACGCCGACACCACGGCTTAGTTAGACTTGCACCGATGCACATTAGCATACGAGGGATCATGGGCCTATCTCGCGAATTTTCACAATTTAAACACCATTTGACCAGCCAACTCATATGCGATAACTATGCACATGTTCACACATTACAACGGGCGTCTGGGCAGGCAGAGAGTACTTATGAATTACCACATGCTTTGCCTAGGCCTTCAATCGTCGCTTACGAATGCCTTTTGGGTTTATGTGATTTCATCTGCTGCTGGGTTCTATACGATGATAGTTGAGGCACTCTCACTCCATGAACATCATTAAATCTACCTCGAAGATTATACTAATAAGCGCTATATGACGCACAAGTATCGGAGGTTCCCCTCTCCTGCCAAAACTAGTTTAACACAATAGTTACGAGTGCATAAATGAACAACGTTTTCTTGTTTAGTGTACGTAATAATCAACTTCGCTTTCCTCTCCCTCCTCTAGGGTCTCGTGGTTGGGGACGAGCTTAGCGACCACCTTGGCATTCGCCCATCGGCGAAACCTTTTAGCGAGACGGTCCATACAGCATAAAATAATAAAGGTCAGGATGGTGCCAACCAGAGATGCAATTAATCTGAAAGGAAGACGATTCGCTCGAGGAGTGGTATGAGAACTTACTGAGTTGGTGAGAAGAATTCTTCCACAGCAGCCATAAACCCAGTAGTGTTGCTGCTGATATCACCACTAGGTAGAGTAGCGTTAGAGTCTTGGTCAGAGTACACCATATCCCCCAGAGCGTCCATGGTAGCGTTTAACCTGAACAAGTTGATAAGCCAGACCAAGACAACTTCCACTTACATTTTGTCGAAGTGTTCTATCGCTCCAGGCACTGCTGGATGAAGGTTGAAGGTAAGCTGAAGGGAAGATAGTCGAACCAGCAGTCAATAGTAAGTTAAGGTTACCTCAGATTGAGGAGCTGGAGTAGGGACGGCAATAATGCCGAGGAGTAATAGGATACGGGTAGCTTTCAAAGCAATGTTCATTGCGACCGAATGATCGATACGATCAGGTAGCTTGGTTAGGCCAAAACCGTGCGAGCTTTGGGGATTTGCCAGCCGTTTCAAAATGGTCATTTTAGGGCGAGCTCGGTTTAAGATGCGCCGTTGAAGTGTAGCACGCGCCATTCTGATCGATTTGCACGCTCCCGCGCACTTTCGTGAGCTTGCACGCAAATGACATCTTGGGGAATGGAAAGCCCCCGTTGACAGACGATGCCCGGCTCAATATTCAATCTTTCAGAGATGCTTGGATTGTCGCTCTCGGTAATGGTCACTACATGCTGAACTAGGCGGAATTACTGCACTCTGCCGAAGGCATGCTGATGAATCGACAGCTCAGAGTCAATTGAAACTAACCTAAATAACGAATAACACATGAATGTAGTCATCACGCTCTTTTGTTCCAAGGCTACGGCCGTTATCCTCTCTCTTCCTCCGTACCTGGCGACATTCTCATTCGATCCATCACCGCTTGAGTCTGCTACTCTTGGAATGATATTAAGGAATCATACACACCCGTAAACCCCGAGGGAAACGGTATAATAATCCTCCGTAAAGCGGGTTTTCAAAGCGTCTGGGTGCTAAGCGTTCACCGGGGCGAACGAGACACGTGAAATCGGCCCATGGACAGAAGTGCAAGAGCAATGAGGAATTACTTCTGCTGAGAATCGATCCGAGGTGGACTTTTCTGTGGTCGGTAAGAATTGAACAGGACAGACTTCAGAATGCCCAGTCCAACGAGTTTATGGACAATACTACGCTCATTGGCTACTACCGACTCTTTAAACGTATTGGGAGAGTTGTCGAGATCATCGTTCAACACAACTAAGGTCCTAAGGCTGCTTAATTGACCATCACGCTGCTACCAGATAGTATCGAGCAGAACGGTCGTGCGGAGATGAGGGGGCAATGCTAGTACCTCTATAGCATTCTGATAAAAGCTCATAGCGGCCCAGATGGTACACCACGCTCTGGTAACATTCGGGATACTGGATAAAGTGAGTAGCAGCTTATATATCTTCGACAACTCCAACTCCCAGCACTTGGAGTATGGTTTAGTGATGTCGACATACTGGGGAGGGCGTATGAGCTGACCAAAGTCATGGGAAGCGGTCTTTCCTTACTTCCGATCATTTTTACCCGTAGAAGTGTACTACTTGTTGTCCACTATACAAACTAGAATGGTACTGCAAACTCAACCGTGGGGTACCTCTCTAACCGTGTGTCTTGTTGAGGACGCAGGTTCATGGGCCAATACCCCGCGTCCTTCCCTAACCCTGAGAGTCGATGTCGATACATGTGTATGAGTTGGACATCTAGGAAATCCGACTGAACGAACCTAACGCTGTTGTCGATGGTACCTAGTAGGTGTTTAAGGACTTCACGCATGGTTCGTTTATGGATGTTTCTCGTCGTCGAGCTGCGAGAGCCTTCAAGGTGCTGTGAACCAAGAAGATGTATGTGGTATCAGTATCCGAACCCTGAGTATTTGACATGTTAGAGTCGTTCCGAGGGGGAAGTATTATGGTATTCTAGATGACGCTGTCGAGGACGCCAAGTTTGGAGAGCTCACAGATCGTAAGGAGGATGCCTAACAGGCATTGCCTATTTGGTTTAGATTCATGACTTTGTGTATTCGATAGCAGCCGTTAGT